ACACACACACACACACACACACACACACACACACACACACACACACACACACACACACACACACACACACACACACACACACACACACACACACACACACACACACACACACACACACACACACACACACACAAATTGGAAACAATGTAAGAACTTTTAAAACAATACTGAGTGTATTCTTCTCTTTTAGCATTTTATTACGTTTGAATTTTTTGAAGATAATAAAAAACTAACCACACAAAGTTGAAGCAAGTATCATAAAAACAACGGGAAGCGTGAAAAATACGATGTCTGATTTTAAACGAGTGTCTGTGTTATCATCCATTGCCGAATTACACGAATGTTCACTGAAAGAATGTCACGATTCGCCAGCTACGATGTTGGTATCACCGATTTCCGAAATTGTTCATGATTTAATGAAGTCCACGTTGTCATCGTATGATTGTTTGCAATGCCAGGATGATAACGCGAGCGATGGAAACGAAGGTAAGCAAAATTTTAATCGCAAAACCGTGACAATGTGGCGTTTCTAAAAATATATCGTCTACAATACAATAACCCATCTGTAGAATTAAAAGATGTTGAAGTTACCGAAAGAAAAATACAATTCAAGGGGAACTAGATTGAAATGGTACGGGAAATGGATAGCCGGGGGTAGGAAGGGTATTGGGGGGAGAGCATAAAATAAACTGTTGATTTTGAGAATGAGGAGAGTAATGGAACAAGTATAATAGTAAGTACTTACTTACTTGTCCTTATGTAAACGACAATTGAATACAGGACGGGTTGTGAATTTTCGATGTGAACGAATGACTCTCCGATCTTTCTTTATTCTTTTTGATTTTGCAAACCAAACAGTTATTGTTAATTTCTTTGTTAATTTCTTTCAAATTGTAAATTGCATAAGAAGGACTTATTACTTTTGCCGGAAAGAAAATTGTTTGTATCGACAGAAAAAAATTTCGTTAATAATTCGGTGTGAAAAAAGTTGCGCTAAAAATGATCAGAAATTTGAGATTCAGATTATAACAACTGGTTTACCACGCTCCACGTGAAATACTAATACTTCGAAACTTTGAAGAATAAAAAAACAGCGGATATTTGTTATCTTTATTTTTTTCATTTTCTCTATTTTCTTTTTTTCTTTTGATGCCTACCACTTTATGGGTTCACCAGGCGCATCTCTCTTTCTATCTATCTATCTATCTATCTATCCATCTATTTTTGTCTGTCTGTCTGTCTGTTTATCTGTCTGTGCCTCTTTTCCTCCAAACCATTTTCCCGTCTTCTTCCCCCTGCTCCTGTTTTCTCCTTTTTTTTTCCAGTAAATTTTATCACTCGAATGTTGAAATTCGAAGATTGCCTTTAAACAACGTTTTTATCGCAACTCGTGATACGGAAGAGTGCCAACGCCGTTAAACGTATTTAGTTAGCAGCTGTGTTATTCCCTCAACGATGATCTTTGTTTGCCATTTGTGCCATTTGTGCTTTATCGTGTATTGCGTACCGGTACACGTGGGCACACAATCATACATTACCGTGAATATCTATCTATGTGTATAATATATTTTCTCTCTTGTAGTAGTCTTGTAATTGTCCTATTCCTAAGCACTTTCTAAGTAAGTGTTTAGTTGTTAGTATGGTATAGTAGAAGAAAGGTAATGGTCAATGGCGAAACGTTTCAATGCATAATTTCAAAAAAATAGGAGTTTCTCTTACTAACTGTGCTAGCTTTCTTTGTTTAAATATGTTTGCCGAACATAGTAAAAATAAAGTAAAGTAAAGGAAAATAAAATGCAGCGTGCGGAAACAACGATAGGCGTAAAATGTAACATTAACGAATAACGAGCAAAATGATTGGACGGAAAATTATAAAAAGAAAATGACATGTATACATCATATGCATATACGGATGCGTTATTAATTTTGAAATATTCTATCGGGTTTTCTCTATGTTGCGAGTGGCGTGCTAAAATGTTGGGAAAAGGGAAGATGAGGAAGAAGTATGAATGTAGTTAGACGATTATTTCGTTAAAAGTTTTATTAATGAATTGCTTTGCAAACGTGGAGAACAATTCAGTGGTTCGATGACAATTTGAATTGCACCTGTATAGTAAACGAACGATACATGATTTTCGCTTTTCATGATTAGCAACTCGTTCATTTCCTATGACCTATAGAGTGCCTATCTATTCTCATTCGGTGATAACGTACCTGATTCATGTTCGATTCGTCCACTCGTTGTTTATGTATCTGTGAACCCAAATTGAAATAGTATAAGAGTAGAAGAGTCACACGAAGGAAATTATATTTGTAACAACATTAGGATAAAAAATAAAAAATTATTACGTATACATATCACGTTATCGTTTTGCTGTTGTTTACAAAGATTACAATCGGATTGGATGATACCGAATTTGTGATAGTAATGTATTTTTTTCCCCTCTTTTCTTTTCTTCCCTTTTCTTCCCTTTTGTTTTTTTCCCTCTTTCTACTTTCTTTTACTCGCTGTAATAGAGTTGGAAAAAAATGTGATACGATTAGAGAATGTTGCTGGAATAAAGAAAACTTGTATGTTTTTATTTGTATGACATTTAATATGTTATGATCATTGTTTTTATAATAAGAAGCAAGTTAAAATATGCGTTTAATCGAAATACGCGAAGAATAATTATGCAGCGATTACATTTACCGTGATAGGTTTTGTTTTTCGTTATTCATAAAAGAAAAGACGGAAAAATGAATGTATACTGTAAAGAAAGGAGGAGGAGGCGTAGGAGGAAGGTACAGAGTGAAGGTGGCGTAGAAGAAAGAGGAAAAAAAGGAGGGAAAGAAGGAGAAATAAGAAAGTGGAGTGGGGAGGGGAAGATATGAGAGAATGGTGGTAGTAGGGGGAGTGCATAGGAGCCACGATAGGAACAACGGGAGCAATTAGGCGTAGTCCGGTACTAGAGCGTTGAACGCAGGAAAACGATGGGGCGCTAACGTGTGTGCCTTTGGTGTCTACGGTGCTCCTGGTATTCCGAGGGGTCGGCACTTACCCCAATAGGGGAAGGTAGTAAAGGCTCAGGGGGCAGACATATGAGCACACATGGTACGACAGTCACCACCTGGCACTGTGTAGCCGAATGCTAGCCATCGTCAAACGAGTATACGAACGTACGAGTGTACCAGTGGGGTGGGTACCGAAGTGAAACGCGTTGCAACCCCAACCTTCCACTTGGCTCGTGCCACTGTACATTGTCGTAGGCTTTTCTACTTTCGCGTCTGGTCTCGGAGACGACCTGTCGGTCAAAAACGGTTAAACTTGGCATTACCAAATCGTAA